TGCTAAACCGGAAGTACGGAAGTGGCACCCCCCTGGTTTCCGCCATGTACGCAAAAGTGACCACTCGTCACGTGACCTCACAAGAGCCGTAACGTCACCGGTAAGATATGGCAGCGCCTGGAGCTGGCATCTTACACTTACACATACTATCACACTAGATGCTCGGAGGTGTTTTTTTTGTTTTCAATTAACAAGTTACAGCAATAATTAGTTCTTACGAGTGCAATATTTATTTTTAATAGCGGGGCCCGTTTTGTGCTCATTAATGTCACTGTGCTATGATGTTATTACTATGTGTGTATTTTTAATTATCCTCTCTGCAATGACTACAAAGATTCTCGGAGGGAATAAATTAATAAATAACATTTTCGCATCACCGAAGTTGGTTTTCGAATGCACCACATGTTCAGGAGAGGTGGAACGAGTACAGCCCAATCCAACAAGTCTGTCAGTCTGGTTTGTCCCATTTGTTAATATTGAGCGGTCAGAGATGCGAGTGTCCTCAAAAGGTCCAGCGCGTGCAGTGAACACAATTCTTGGTGTATAGTCTTCGAGGGCGTAAAGGCTGGCAGAAATCTGGTTATTTGGTCAGTGTATCAAATATGTTGATTTACACTTGATTACATAATTATTGATTCTTAGCAAATGGTTCCGTAACGAGTTCTTTCAACGACAGTCTCGTGTCAGGCGTTCAGTCGTTGTACCTGTGCTCCTTGTTGTCGGATGACGCTCCTGGAACGTCGGTGTTCAGTTTGGTCAAGTGGCAACTTTGACTGACTGATGCCGTTTTGTAATCATACGTCAAGTGCCGCCGCTGACATCTGGTGCACTGAAGCTGCAGGGCTTGCTTCTAATCCGCACATTTTTCTAGTAGTTTTTTGCGTCAATGCAGCAAGTTCGGGCATGTATTGCTTACGTGGCTGTGCCTTTTACTGTACCGTTGACTTGATGGCCAACAACAATGTTTGTTTGTTATCTAAGCCATTTCACTTCCATTCCGTAATGGCCATCTCTTCTGCATCCTGCGACCACTGCAACTTGTGTAAGTCTCGTGTGGCAAAGTGAAGTCGGGTGATGCTCGGTGTCCACTTTTGAGAACAACCAACCATTCCATTTCTTCAAGTCACCCAGTGGCATTCCCCCTCAAAGTTGTAATTTGTGTGCTTCGTGGAGTGGATACAAATAATTAGTGTCAGCAAATTATTAGGTATTGTCCTTGGACGACAACCGACAGCAAATCAACCGTCATTGCATTGCCGCTCACCTGCTTTGTCGTGCTTGCCACCCGTCGACATGACGGGGATCAGGAGCTTCGGGGTAATGTCGGCACCAGGAACAAAGGCCGCCGAAGATAATCCTCAATGTCTCGCGGTCGCTCCTCGAGACTTGGTCGAGGGTCGTTTTGCACGAACCCTCGCAGGCCAATTCCTTGGTACGAGCAGCTCCGGTAGACATGGTCGGCCTCATGCACTGGTAGCAGAGTGGTTTTCGGTTGACCATTCGCAACGCCTCCGTTTTTTTTTTTTTGTGTACTTTGTTCAGCGCGGATCTACACTGGTTCTTCCCGATGTCGGCAATGCTTTGGCGTTGGGGTGTCTCGTTGAAATGACATTGAATACTAACGGGTAGCCGGTGGCGGTCGTCGGGACTTTGTGGCGTAAGTCGCCCTCGATTCGTCAGATGCAGCTTCGCTAGGAGAAGTCTCCGGTTAAAATGCCTGTCAAACTTGTTCCGAAACAATTTCGGCAATCGAAATAAAAACTGGGTAACTGATGGCAGGAGGTAGCTTCCTGATCACCTGCCGGACGACGTCGTAGATAATGTCGCGGATGCCTGGGAGGCTGTCGTCAAAGTTGCAGCTGGACGACTCAAGTGTCGAGACGCCAGGGAGTTGTTGATAGTGACAGGTTCGGGCCTCCAGTCAGGCGCAAATCCAAGGGGGGGGGGGGGGGGGGGGGGGGAGGGGGGCGACGGGGGCGCCCCCCCTCCCCCAAACAAAGTCGACCCCCCTCCCCCCCCCCCCCCCCCCCCTTTCCGGAGGGCAATTTGACAAGGGTGGACCCCCCGTGCACAAGAAAAAATGGGAGAATAGTATCCTTACAAACTTACAAGGTTTCCGCGTCGTCCGGTTAAAATATGACTCACTGATATTTGGTTACTCTCTCCGTGCCCGCTGGCTTGCCCGAGCCCCAAGAGACGTGGAAACCGCAAAAAAGTTAGACGCTTAAATATGATTGCAGGGCCCCTTTAATGAGGATTTGTGGTTCTCAAACCAGTGCCTTGCAGTTTCGTCCACAAGAAGTATAGGTTCTGCAAGAGCTGGTTGTCTGTCCATCCATTGTGGCGGGCGACACGGCCATATTGTTCAATCCAGTCCTCGACGTCTTCATGCACCTTGCGTAAAAGGGCGTCGGAGTGTGAGATGCGACGGGCATGCCAACAATGGTGCGAGCGGACGCGGTTTGCTGCTACAGGTTTGCCATTGTTGGCTTAGTCAGCTTCGAGTTTTCTGGCAGGAGACCGCATTCCGGTGGTTCTTGCTGGTAGCAGTGACTGGCTCGGATTTGCAGGTTTTTCTGGCAGGAGACCGCATTCCGGTGGTTCTTGCTGGTAGCATCGATTGGCTCGGATTTGCAGGTTTTTCGTGGTGTATTTCCGAGGTTCGTTTTGTGGTACTTTCTCGTGTTGCGGTTTTTCTGCCGGGCTCGGGATAGGACTTAATTCACGGCTCGCCGGCGGTTTAACACGCGGGATAGTCCGCCACCCGTGTCCCTTTAGCAGGCAACTCGGCTGAGGAGCCGCCAGTGTGCACACAGAGTGAAGGGCTATGGGTAAAGTACCCAGCACCTCCACCAGAACATATGATGACAGCCGAGCATTGCCTGGAACTTTCCAGAATACTAAATATTCATAGAAGATAGGACTGAAGCAAGCATATATAACAAAAGTGACAAATTAGAGTCTATCCTAACCACTAAAGAAGCTGCATTGCTTTAGTGGCATTCTGTCCGAATTCGGGGTTTGGCGACTGCCGTGAACGAAGTGAACTGCCATGGATGTGGGACCACTTTTCTGGTAATGAGCCGCTGCAGACTGTCGCCGCAAAGCGACGTGAACGGGTGGGCTGGGTAGGTAACACCCGCAATGAAATGTTTATACAGCTTGCAATTCACACAACGAGTTTGTACATTGTTCATTGCGTTTGTCGATACAAGCGCAATGAAACTTTTGTGACGACGAAACGTGCAACAGGCCAGTGGAATCAATACCAACTGCAACACCTGTGCTCCGTGAAAGTGCACGTCTACGCCAGAACAATTTAGGAAGTAGCACAGCATCACCTAAAGTACGGCACAGGAACTACAGCTTGAAGGCAGCTCTTCGGTGCGCCACACACCTGTGCTCCGTGAAAGTGCACGTCTACGCCCAAACAATTTGAGAGGCAGCACAGCATCATTTAGCACGGCACGGGAACTACCGGTTACAAGGCAGCTCTCCGGTGCGCCGCCCAACCAAAGTGAGCCTTCGTTCATTTGGATGAAGCGGAACCACGATTGCACACTGCCAAGCACGACTCACGCAATTTCCGTCGCTAAACTGTGCATCCATGTACACTGCACACGCTTCACTGCAGACCCCGAAGATTCCGATAATCAACAAGAGCACAGAAACGTCGCCTTAAAAGTCATCCTATCGATATCCCAATCAATCCGAGGTACGAGTAAGGCAGGGCCGATTTTCTTTCGTGGCAATATCCCCGTTGGTCACCAGCGAAATGCACACCGTTCCTCCGTATTTTCACGTTATACCTAGGTCATACATCAAGCTGAACTTTGAAGTCGCTTGCGACCGGCCTCATATGACGGCTTCCGCATCTGAAATAAACTCGTTGAGACGAACGACAACGAACAACGAATCCGTCAAACTCCAGCCCAGCTAGGGCCAGCCGCTGCCTGGGCGCTGCCATCTTTCCTTTGACGTCACTTATTTGGCTTGGTCACGTGACGAGTGGTCCCCTTTGTGTACAATGGCAACGGCCTTGTAAGGCGGGGGAGGGGCACCTTCGAGTGCAGCCCGGAACCCCGGTCTACCGCTCTAAGCCCCTCTATTTCGTTGAGCCAACATGTCACGCCATTACTCTATGCTCGTGTTGCGGTTTCGATTTCGAACAGCTGCGAGTTTTGGCTTTATTAAAAATATACCGGATTCTGTAGCAAAATATTGATTAGGTAGTCTTCTGGGACCACATTATATCGCCTGGCAAAAAAATAGAAATAAATTCGCCCTTTCCGAAATTTAGTGCCATCTAGTTTAGGTTTTGCCGTACCAATAGTGGTAATGAACTTGAATTTTATCGGGCACCACCACTTTTGCAAATCAACGGCAGGTGAGGAATTGTTAAATGTGTAGTTTTTTCTCGATGACTTTCAGTTGAATGGTGACGAAGAACCTGCAGCGAGAACAAAGCCCCAACCCACACAGATGCCTCGATAATATTCTATACACCAAAGGGCATTACAGCCGATTATGTGCCGCCTACAGATTTACTGAATCTGAGTTAGAAAGAAACGCTTACGTAACTCTTGTGTTCCATTCCTACGTGGTGTCGTACTAACCCCCGAATGTACAGGTCTCGCATCATCCGCTTAGGAGAATCTTCAACGTCTTTCTTTATCAGTGACTAGAAGGCCGCAATTGGTACGGCACAGATGCCGTCCCACAGATGATGATAATGATCAAAGTGGCCAGACTGAATTTCGGAAAAGGTCTAAGCCGTACTATGGACGCACAAGAAACGCATCGTAATGGTGAGCGTCCCCAGACTATCAGTCACTATGCCGTGCGACTTGCACCTTCCTGGCCACAGAACCCAAAAGTCTGGTTTTTGCGAGTAGAAGGTCGCTTCAGCGTCTCGAACGTCAGATATCACACGTCACATCGGAAGTCGCATCACACGTCGGCTTCAAACGAAACACGCCCGAAACGAAGTGCCAACTTACGCACGGCCTTCAGCTGATAGGATGCCTCGACCGCTTCTTCCCTGAGCGACTGCATTCGTAGGTGCAGGGACATGACTCTTCGTGTGGACGTGATGACGACCGACGAATCCAGCTGGCAGAGGTCGTCCAGCAATGCGCGGCCTTCTTCTTGCCCTTCAAAGACCTGCGCTCGGAAAAGCATGGTCAAGAGCGGAAGAAAGCGAGACACCGCAATATTTCGCGTTCTATTCGGCCACAGCTGATCGAGCAGCCCCAAAAACTGTATCGTCATGGCGCTCGTCGTACTTGTGCCTCTGCCGTCACATGCTAAACCAATCGTGCAAAAGGGGAAAAAAAAGCGCAGGATCACGCCGCATTCACTGTGCGTGATTGGTTTAGCAGCTAATAGAGAGTTTTAGGGAACCGTTTGTGCACATCCGTACGGTGGGCCCTCCGGTACGAACTGCGCAGACGCTACCGCAGAAGACTCCTACGTGCGCAGTTCGTACCGGAAGGCCCATCGTACTGTATACCGGATGTTCACAGACGGCTCCCTAAAACTCCCTAATAGCCCACGTGCAAAGACGACGAGCGACACGACGATAGGCCTGGCTTCTCCCGGCCAGCGGGGGGAGGGGGGGGGAGGGGGGGGGGAGGAAGGGGGGGGGGGCGAAAGCATGTCCACGAGACGCGACCACAAGGTGGCACCTCTGCTAGCGTCCGCTAGACGCGACCATTTAAACGCGGACGTGAAGCGGCATCCTACGTCGTCCCACCATGTACAGTCCACGGGCATAAACTACCATTTGTCGATGGTTGCCCGCGGCCACCGACGGAGCGTTTGGAAGGGCGCAACGTGACGCACTTTGGAAACGCGACCTAAACGTGCCCGATTTTACTCGCCACGGGAGCTGTTCAAAACTTGGAAGCTATATCCCTATGTGCGGTTTTGGCGTCTATTGATCAACGCCATCCGATAACGTGAAATTAAGATCCCGCCAGTTATGTCTCATCGTTCAGTCGACCTTCAAAGTCCTTGAGCGAAAATACGTCGGCGTCGGCGAAAAGGTACCAAACCGTTTACGTGACCACTCAGTGGATTACTAAGCGAATTAAGATGATGACTCAGCACATTGAGAAGGATGACTGAGCACATTAAGAGTGATGACTCAGCGAGTAAATCATGGTCTTGTCTTTAATGCATCGGTGCTTGGGCTTTCGCCTTCAAGTCGTCTCAGGGACAACCAGTGATTTCCCTAAACACACCCTAGGGGGGGAGAGGGTGTAGAGGGGAATGTACACGCCCCCCCTTGTTTTTTTGAAGACACCCCCTTAATTTGCAACGACTCCTCTATTCTCAGTGCCCCCCTACCCCCCCCCCCCCCCCCCCCCCCGCCTACCCCCTAAATATTTAGACACCCCCCCTATCTTTAATTCCTGAGGATAACATAAGCGACCCTTTCAGTTTTGGTTCGCAGTTAACGATATGGCGACATTCTCTGACAAGAACACCAAAAAACAAATCGGGAAGCCGGGAGCGTGAACAGAATAGGCCACGCCTGACATTTTTTATGCTCTCAGTGACAATGAACGCTTTTGTGCTATCCAGACAGTTCCTCTGGTTTTACTTTGTGAAGATTAACAGCGAACAACCGCGTGTCAAGTTTGACAGCTTACCACGGGATGTCGATTCTTTGTAAATGCAGCCACACGGCCCCAACACTTATCTATTTTATCGCCAATGTAAAAAATTAAGAAAAATAAATGCTGAGTCACTGGTTTATGGGCGCATGCGGCGGCGCCTGATATTCCGGGAAAGGGACTAACTGCGCATGCTCAGATACGTACATTCCTGTGGAGAAAGATGTCTGCGGAGAATGGAGACTATGGGAATGGCGTATTCCCATCCGTTTGAAAAGAAACAGTCCGAGTCTGTACTGTTTCATCGATGCACATTCTGTCAAAATTCTTTTTTTTTTTTTTCAATTCAATTCGCTAATTTTCCCAACATGTTGTTGGGTGTTTCAAATGTATTTTATTTTAAATATTTCGAATTCCGGGCAAGGGGGTATGCATTGAATTACTGGATCTATTTCTCTCTCTGGAAGAATACAAGGAGTGCTGATAACATTGGCCAAGCTCCCTCAACGTGCTTGCGAAGGCTTGTCATGTTTTTAGACCGCAGCTCTTAGGCGCCCGTTTCCTTGTTTCGCGGCGTCGCCGTTGCCATCGGCGTCGGCGTAACCGCGCTAATATAGTAGGAAAATTGACGTCACGTGACCTGAACAGCACTTCAATTCCCCGCCAAATTTAGGAGGGAATTGAAGTGCTGTTCAGGTCACGTGACGTCAATTTTCCTGCTAAATTTAGCGGAGAAACTGAATTTGTTCGTATGTGACGTAACACTAACTAATGTGACGTCATAACTGAATTGGTGTTGAGGTCACGTGGCGTCACTTTGTCAGCAAAATTTAGCGGGAAAAGTGTGCGAGGAAGGGAGATACCCTCACCTCCTCCCCCAGTTTTGTGCTTGCGAAGGCTAGCACAAAGGAGGAGGATGGGAGGGTGTTGAGGAGCAGGAGGAAAGGAGGAGAAGAGGAAAGGGTACGGAGGAGGAGGGGAAGGTATAGAGGAGGTGGAGAAGAGGAGGAGGATAATGGGAGAGGGGGAGGTGGAAAGAAGGAGGAGAAGGAGAGGAGGACGGGCATTCCCTCCCCTCAATACCCTCCCATTCTCCTCTTCAAGAGCTGCACTCTAGTTTCGCGCTACAGAGATTTATAAACGTCTTTAATTTTTTTCTCAACTAACCTCACCTCAACCCAACTCAACTCAACTTACTTATTCTATCCTACCCTGCCCTGTCCTATCCTATATCCTATCCTAAACTGAACTAGATTACCCTAAACTACGAATCACAAAACGAGAGCGCAATATGCAAATGCCTAAACCAAGAAATCTTGGACATCTACTTTCCCACGAGGGACCTGGGCGATCCAATCGCCGCAATCAACGGGGAAGATCGGGAAATAACGAGGCTGAAAAATATGTTTAGACCTGGAAAGTGTTTCAGTGTCACAACGCAGTTTGATTTGTTTGAGGCAGTGACAACGAAGCCATGGAGATCACACACTATTCCATAATTTCGCTTTTCCACTAGCATCGTTTTCTCTTTTTCTCTCTCTCTCTCTGCTTGGTTTTCAGTTTAAACATATTCCGAGCCACGCCACTCGTCGAGATCCCTCTCTAGAGGGCAGTAATTGGCTCTACCAGAAGCTTTGAGGGAAAGTAAACGCTCCAGAGTTGTTAGAGTGTACGTATCGCGAACTATGAGAGGAAACAATACTTCGTGCTTCTTCGGCATACTAGTCAGTTTTTGAGGGAGCTGTGGTCCAGCCTAGGTATGGAATGACAGCTTCTTTTCATTTTTTTACATATTCAGAAATAATAGAACTTGCGGGAAGCGCAGACGCAGAAAAAGCCGGGTCTGGTCTTTCGGCTAATATTCTCCATCCAGAAAAGTACCCTTCAAGGCCGCCGCTAAAGGAAACTATCGGCAATACATTGCACGATAAAAGAACGCAGGCCCATTTTAGTGGAGCGATGTGTCGACGAAACTATCTGTCGACGTAACGTCATTTGACGAACCGATTGCCGCCGATACGGCTACCCACCCTTAGATACTCCACGTCGCAACGCTCCAGGTTGAGCTTGCGCACGCTGAGCTCGACAGTCTGGTCCTGGCTGGCGATGAGGGTCCAGACGCATGTGGCCGGGTAAGCGATGAACACGCCGTCCCTGGGGAACCGGAGCTGGCCCGAGGGCTCGCTGCGGTCCTCGTTGCAGCCGAACACCTTCCAGCGGACGTGCAGGCCGTTCTTGTCCAGCGCCCGGTCGCTCAGGAACAGCAGGGACACCGAGCTGCTGCGCGTGTGCACGGGTTCCGGAATGACCTTGCCGCAGAGCCGCGGGTGGCTTCGCATCTGGCCCTCGTTCTTTTCCAGCACCTGAGTAGAACTCGATGATCTGATGCCAAAGGCCATGGCCTCTTTCATACGTGAAGGGAAGGCGATGCAAAGACACGTTTCTCTCGCGACTTGTCAGACGGTAGGCTACCGCTTTAAGCTTTCTTTGTGGTTGGATACAAGTTGGGAATGCACCAAATAAACAACACCACGTACCAGATCGAATCGTTTCGCGGGTCAGCAAGCAAGGACAGTTGCTATGATGAGTTATGTGACCTAAAGCCTGGGTCGCACTGCTTATACATCATACGAAAAACAGTCTGCATACAGACCCGAACGCGAGATCCGTGCTTCGAATGCCACATGGCGATGAGTTCAAGGAGAAACTTGGCCCATGGCATTCAAACCACGGATATTGCGGTGACTGGTGTTTGCAGACTGTCTTTTCTGTAATCTATGAGCAGTGTTACCCCGGCTTAAGCGTGACGTACTAGTACGCAATAGCCTCACTAGGGGACTATTTTCGCATTGCGGAGAAACAATGGTTTGCGGTCATGAGGGTGTGAAACCTCCTGGCGCATTCTTAGCTTGTCTATAAGCAGTGACTAGTTCTACTTGAAGCTTTCGGCGTATTTTTAACTTTTTCATAGCAGTATCGGGTTCTACAGGTATGGGGAGATCGCTTCCCTATTGAAAAATCTTATTTGTATGAGAAAGTTGTGTGTCTAATAAACACATATGAATCATACAATATATAAGAACATAAAATAACCATATAAAACTATATGAAAACCATATAAGACATATAAAAACATATAGAAAACTTGTGAGCAGTTTCTTATAAGCTTCTTATATGGTTCTTATATATCTTGTATAATTCATATGTGTTCATTGGTCACAAGATATTTCTCACTACTGTTCTGGCGTATTTTTAATTTGAATTTTCGTAGTGGCTTGTTTTACTGCTGTAGGAAAAGATTGTGACACATTAGGCGCTTTGCGTCCGCGCTAATTTATTCCTACTCCAATGCTCCTAGTTTCATACTCCGAGCGCAGCAACCGAACGGAGCGAGGAGCCCCATGAGTCACATTCGACCGCACTGTTAGGGCGAACCCGGCACCCCGAGGACACGGGAGGCAGAAGATTAAATGATGAAGTCCTGCATGAAATGGCAGAGTGTAAAGTAAAAAAAAAAACAAAAAAAACAAACAAAAAACGATGAGTTATAAAGTTCCTTTTTCAAATGTTTTATTACTCCTGAAAGGTTGAGACACTCGCTTCGAGCACTTATGCGGAAAGTTATCCTGACCAATCTGTTTATTGACCAAACACCCTGCTCAGATCTACATGAAAGACAACATTCTTCAACTCGCTTGTAGACGCAGGAAAATGTCATACTTGTAAGAGATGTTCCATGGTATCGTTTTGCAGCGTGAGACCATGTAGATCTGAGCAGGGTGTTTGGTCAATAAACAGATTGGTCAGGACCCGTTGATGTGCTACCGGCACACCACTGTTCAATAGATAGCATGTCAATTTGTTTTCAGGCGAGACGCACGAACAAATCTTTCCCAAAACGCTAACTGCCGTTAGGGCTTTCCAATCGAAGCATCATCGTTCGCTGGACTAAGCAACCTAAAAGAAGCAGCAGTCCGACTGTTTTCTCACCTCGAACTGTTCTGTCGATGTGCTATCGGCGCGTACAGTTCAATACAGATATCGCGTTAATTCGTTTTCAGGCAAGATACAGAAACGAACCGTCTATGGAAGGCCAACTGATGTTTCGGCTTTTCGATCGAATTGTTTTTACGTGCCGAACTAAGCCTTATTTAACTCAAAAGGGGCAGTGTTCCGACTCCACTCTTCGCCGCGACAACGATTCTGTCGGCTCGGTCATATTTTTTGAGGAAGTGACGTCTCGGAGAGCGAATCAGTCACTCGCCGCCTCCGAGAAAAACTCGGCGCACGAAGAGCGTGCTCAAGTGTCAGTCTTCGGTGGCTCTCCTGTCCCTTTAGTAAACAGAGCGCGCCGGAACACGGACTTACCGCGCCCATTCTTACCTTCATTACAGTGTCTGGTTCTATACTGCAGCCGAAGCTTCAAGCGCAAGCTCGCCCGCGATCCTAGCTTTCAGACGTGCATTTTTGCGCCAGTGCTCGTTCTGTGGAAGAACGCTTCAAAGCAGTGACCTCTAGCTCTCGTGCTTGTGACATTGGCTGCAGTCTCAGCTTAAGAGTGAACGCAGTATACTGGTGTGTAAGAACCTTCTGGCGCATACTTAACTTTTGTATGGTAGTGACTGTCCCTACTGGTGTGGGAAGATCGTTTCTGGCGCATTTTTAACGTCACTATATCAGTGACTGGTTCTAGTGAAGTGGGAGGAGCTTTTGGCATACTTTTAACCTATTTATAGAAGTGACTGGTTCTACTGGTATAGGAAGGTCGCTTCTGGCGCTTTATTAAATTTTCTATATAAGTGATCGGCTCTACTGGTGTGGGAGGAGCTTCTGGCGCATTCTTTAATTATCTATAGCACTGACAGGTTCTGCTGGTAGTGGTATTGAGGAAGGTCGCTTCTGGCTCATTCTTAACCTTGTGACTGGTTCTACTGGTTCTACTGGTGTGTGAGGAGCGTTTGGCGCATTTTTCACTTGCTTTTAGCACTGACTGGTTCTACTGGTGTGAGAAAAACTTTTGATGCATTCTTATCTTAATTAGGGTAACTTGGTCTTGGACCTGAGAAAATAGCTTCTGGCGAATTCTTAGCTTGACTATATGTCAGTGGCTGGTTCTACTGTAATAGGTGGAGCTTTTGGCGTATTCTTAAATTGATTATAGCAGTTTCTGGTTCTACTGGTTGCGTGTATTAGCTTCGTTTGGTTCGTTACTTTTCGTTACATCGTGTGAAATCACTCAGTACTAAGGATGGAAAAGCGTCAGTAGAAACAATTGCTGTTTTTGCCGCGCGTGCAGTGTTGCCCCGAAGTACGTCACAGCGCGTGTAGTTTGCGGGATAAAAAAAAAATTCAGTTCGCAACAGGCGCTTTTGTACGCAAAAGCCCTAAAACTACAATAAACCCGGAGACTCCATCGAGTCCAGGTATTTGAAAACTGGCGTTGTCGCAATATTAAATGTTCCTCATAAGCCTAATTGCACGAGAACGATAATTTTGAACACCGCACTGTCAGATGAGATGATCGTGCACGGTCTGATAACTCTGATTAGTTGCTGGAGCTGAAATCTATCCCGCCTATGAGCGCCTATCAGCTGAGTTCTTCAGGACGTCATTCAGGCGTCATCCACTACTTCTGCAGCTACTAATTTTACTTCCTGTTTTTCTTACGCAAGCAATGATAAGATTTAGACTTTCGCTATTTAATATTTGAGGCACTAGTGCAGAAACAAGAAGCACGGTTAAATACCAAGTTTAAGGTATTTTATTAACTTTTTAAAGAGCGTTCTCAAGTTTTAAAAAGAAATATGCTTCAAGTAAGTAAAACACGGCTTCAATTACTTGTAAATAGCGAGTTTTCGTATTGCGTATAGGAGCGAACGCAAGCCCTGTGCGTTGCGTGTTCCACACTGCGCGTGCGCGGAGCCCAAACTACGGCTTTAGACTGGCGCTTGGCGACTTCGCGCATGCGCAACGTGAAGCGCGCAACGCTATGCAAAAGCAGATCGCTTGCGTTTGTTCATATACGCAATTCTAAAACTCACTAATGAGATAGATATTCCGGTCATGCCTGCAATAACCAGTCTTAAGAGGTGCTTCACTAAGCGATTCTTTGAAGTGAAGCAAATGAAACGCTACACTTGTGCCACCTGTTGCCACAACACAACCATAGCTTTTGAAAAGGAAATGTATTGTTCTTTCGCAATTTACCGCCACCACAAGATGACCCATTCCGCCTCTGGTGCCATTCCTTCGCATACCTGCGAAACTACGTGGTGAAGATTGTACTCCCCGATAAGTACAAGGCCTGGGGAAGACAATTCAGCTGATGCAGTAACCAGTTACTTTGAGGCAGACTTGTACACGTTACTGAAAAAACGAAACCAATTACAATTACTTTACTGTAAAAAGTAACCGATTACAATTATAATTACAGCCTGAAAAAAGTAATTGAAAAATTACTCTAAAGTAATCGATTACTTCTCACGTTACATTTTATTCAACTGTTTTCATTACGGTAGCATAAGCCTTGTAATCTCGCCCTCAGTTGTTCCGAAAAAAAAAAGAAAAAAAAAAGGAAAGCCTTGACCGTGTTTGCTTAGAGCTGAGTGAGTGACGCCAACACACCCAATTTCTCTCGTGAAAAAAAAAAGAGCGTTATTTAAATACATTATTCAGAAGAGGCTGGATAAGGTCATTTTTTATGCCCGAACGTGATCTCCGGTATACCCCCCCCCCCCCCCCCCCCCGAAAAATAAAAAAAAAGAATGTACCCAGGAAACGAAGCATAGTCAAGTGGCCCAGGCCTACTAATCCTCAAGGTCCCGTCCTTAGCAATTTCGAAGAAGTGGCCTACAAATCCTCAAAATCCCTTAATATCGAAAAAACAATTGACCGTGTCCCAGAGCTAAGTGACTCCATAACATACACGCCTCGCCCAACCCCCCTCCCCCCCAAACAAAAAAGAAGTTGATAAAAATTGTAATGGGTAATTTTGTAATCGGTTACAGCAAAAAAGTAATTCAATACAAGGTACTCAAGGCCGACGTACAACCTCGGTTTTCTGCAGGGAAGATGCTTAATCCTGTTTGCGCTCCCCTCTCCTAATCTGCGAGGGGAGCCAAGTTGGGACAAGCTTAAAAGTGGACAGGATATAGGAAAGGAGGGGGAGGGCAAAAGTGGAAAGCGCGAAGTGGTACGTCGGGCCTTTAAAGGAAGTAATTGAAGCATTACAAAATTACAGTAAAATGTAATCGATTACAAGTAATCCATTACTTGTAACGCGTTACGTACAGTCTACCTTGAGGCAATAGATTAATATACAGAAAACCGAGTCCCGGCGTTAAATTTGAGGAGCACAGTGCAAGCAAGACCAGAGCAATAAGCGAAAAGCGAAGGGAAGCCCACTTTGAGGTACATGTGCTTGCACTTCGGAGGGTCCCCAACGGTGTCAAAGTAGTCGAAGGTGAACTGGTACGTGTTTCCCCGGGAGCTGCGAAAGCACCAGCGCCTTCGGAGGATCACGGCTGTGCGCTTGCTCTTGTCCTCGGGAATCTCCATGAGACCCTGGCTGGCGGTGAAGGTCTGCGCGCACGGCGGCAGCACTGGGAGGCAATAGTGTGCCTTACTGCATGTACCCATATGCGCGTTTATACTTGACAGCGATGATTGAGTATTGCTAAAACCACTGGTATAGTTCGCCGCCAGGGATCCATATAGACCGGCCAGCCGCCGTAAAAGAGAGAGGAGTGGACGGCAGACGGAGAATCGCTGCGTCCGACCTAGAGAATTGTCTTCTGCAGGGCAGAAAACCGGTTCCCAGTTTCCTTCTCTCCATTCCTTCTCTCCTCCTCTCCCCAGAGAAGCGGGTTTCTGCAAAGCCTAAGTGCTTTCCTGCGTCATTAAAGAAGGCCAGCTTTCGCCTGCAGATTGGACATGACTACGGCGTTGGCGTTCGGCTAGGAGTGGGCTCGGCGAAAGCGACAAGAGCACGATGTCAACTAAGACAACGCTCTTTTTTATACAGGCCCTGCTCTGTTCTTATCTTGGAGCACCGATCGACTACAGCACGTGTGGAAGCGACAAGCAAGCCGCCAACGATGACCAAGTGTCTCTACAATCGCCAGTCGCAGAAGTGCTGCCCTCTGGTGGGCTCGGCGAAAGCGACAAGAGCACGATGTCAACTAAGACAACGCTCTTTTTTATACAGGCCCTGCTCTGTTCTTATCTTGGAGCACCGATCGACTACAGCACGTGTGGAAGCGACAAGCAAGCCGCCAACGATGACCAAGTGTCTCTACAATCGCCAGTCGCAGAAGTGCTGCCCTCTGGGTTCGTGACGTCAAGTGCTTCAACGCCTACAAAAGGACTAACCCAGGAATTCATCTTCAGTGGGCTCGGCGAAAGCGACAAGAGCACGATGTCAACTAAGACAACGCTCTTTTTTATACAGGTTGGTCACAAAACCTCTCTTTTTGCGAGCAATACTCTCATGCTCATTGTTGTGCCATGCCCACAAACTTGTATTGACATTGCGTATGATTGTTTCTATGCATGCAAATTACTTGTTTGCGGTGATGTCGAGACCAATCCTGGCCCTACGACTGAGGAGATGTTTCAACAAATAATGAACGGACAGAGTGCAATCCACAAAGAAATTACAGAGTTAAAAACACAACAAAGTAAAACTGAAGTCATGATAAGCGGAATTAACGCCAGGTTTGTTGAATTTGACCAAATTCTTCACGAGCTCAGGCAGAAAACGGAACGAGTTCAGGCGCTGGAAAGTAGCCTCGTAAATCTTGAAAGGACTGTTATTTTTCAAACTCAGAAAATTACAGATCTCGAGGATCGGAGCCGTCGATCAAATCTAGTCGTTTACGGGATAGCAGAAACAGAAGATGAAACGGAAGCACAGCTTAAGAGTAAAGTGATCACAGAGGTCCTGAATGGCATACTAGGTGTAACTTGCACTTCCATTTCAAGGATTCACAGGCTCGGTAAACCTAGTGACAAAAGGCCTGTCATCTTGTTCTTTCAGGACTATAACGAAAAACAAGCAATACTTCGCAATGCCAAAAAATTAAAAAATACACGGATATCCATTTGCAACGACTATTCACCAAGCACGTTAGCAAAACGTCGGGCACTTTGGTTGAGCGCTAAGACCGATAAGGACCAAGGGAAAAAAGTGTTTTTGGTACATGACAAGCTTCGTATAAATGATGACTGGTATATCTGGGATGACGTCGCAAACTCCCGCGTTCAGCTGCCACAATTACAACCACGTTCGAATGAATGACGCCCATGTACTCCAGAATCAAAGCAACTCCGCATTTTAAACATAAATGCACGGAGCATTGTGAACAAGGTTAACCAACTGGAACTTCTCTTATTGAATTATGATCCCCATATTACGGTAATAACGGAAACATGGTTGCACGAGGACATTAATAATGATAGTATCATTCCACCATCCTACAGCATATTCCGCAGAGACCGCCCATCGCGTGGTGGGGGGGTTGCTGTAATACTGAAAGATAATATTCATGCCGTGCTTCTAGATCAGATTGAAGAGCATGAAAGCTTATGTTTAAAGCTGAATTGCTGGGGTAACACAATTATCTTGTACGCTGTTTATAGACCTCCCAATTCTCAACCAGACTTCCTAAACCAACTGTACAACCACATATCCTCATACAGGAACAATAAACTTGCAGTTGTTGGGGACTTCAACCTTCCGGGTTTTGATTGGGCCAATTTGTCCGCTAACTCATGTCAGGACAGTGAGATTGTTCTTGACACTATGTTTGCCTATGATCTACAGCAGGTTGTAACCGAGAACACGCGAGAGCAGGGCTCGAGCTGCTCTATCCTTGATCTCGTTTTTGTTAGTAGATGCTTATCTGATTATACGGTCAGTGTCGAGAGGGGGATCTCGGATCATAAACTTGTTTATTTCTGTTGTACTTTAGCGAAAGAGTCACCTGAACGGAAAAGTGTAGTTAAGAAAATTAAAGACTTCTCGAAGTCCAATGATGAGTGTATTCTGGACTATCTGGATTTGGCACTTGATAGTTTTAACGACTCAGACGTGCAAGTTTTATGGAACAAATTTAAGGTTATTTGCAACTACTGTTTGGATAACTTTGTCCCCAGTAAGAAAAAGCGTGTTAATAGGGCTCACCCCTGGGTGAATCGGAAAATAATTCACTTAAAGCGAAGGATTAAACGCCTTAAAAAAACTAAACGTAGAAACAACGGTCGCCTTCAGGACATGCAGGACGAGCTAGGACGGCACGTTCAGCAGTCTCGTGATTATTATTTTTCTAATACTCTGCCTAATTTTATTAAAAACGACCCTCAGAAGTTTTGGAGCTACCTAAGCAACAAAAGAAAACCCATCGACCAAATATGTGTTGACAGTACAGTGATTGATGACACCGTAGTGATCGCTCGTCATTTTAATGGATACTTCCAGTCAGTTTTTTCTGACGCTGAAACGTACGAGTGTGAAAATCATGAGCGGTCCTACGTGAATGCTGATTGCATATCGCTTGCAGGCGTATTTTCCATGTTATTGAACTTGAAAACGAAAAAGTCACCTGGGCCTGATAAGATACCCAATGCCTTTCTGCGTCGTTTCGCGGAACCCTTAGCACACTTCTTAACAGTGATATTCCGCACGTCATTTTTGTCGGGAGTTCTGCCGAATGATTGGCTCTTAGCACGTGTTGTGCCGGTGTTTAAAAAAGGAGACCACTTATCTCTGAGCAACTACAGGCCAATCTCGCTTACGTGTACATCGTGTAAGTTACTAGAACATATAATTTCAAATATGGTAACTGACTTCATTGATAAAAATAACTTAATAACCGAGTTTCAACATGGATTTCGAAAGGGCTATTCAACAGTGACACAGCTAGTCACCACGGTGCACGAATTTGCCTCCACTTTGGATAAATCTGGTCAGATAGATGCCGTATTCATAGACTTCAGCAAGGCATTTGACAGAGTGCCACATGGTAAACTGCTTTTTAAATTGGAAAGTATTGGTCTTGACTCAGCCATCGTTAAATGGATCGGATCCTATCTACATGGTCGTAGACAGTATGTCGAGGTTGGTTCTGGTTGCTCAGAGATGCTTGATGTGACTTCCGGTGTACCCCAGGGAAGTGTCCTTGGGCCACTATTGTTCTTGATATACGTCAATGATATTGTTTCTGTTGTGGACCCAGGAGTGAACATTCGTTTATTTGCGGACGATTGTGTATTGTTCAAAGATGTTTTGTGTACTAATGACCAACTCGCACTTAACTCAAGCTTAAACTCTATACAAGACTGGTGCTACCAATGGAAAATGAAATTGAATCTCGAGAAAACTGTCTTTCTTAGAATCACAAACAAAAAGAAGTACCTCTCTTTTCAGTACAAAATAAAAGATTATAACGTCTCTGAGGTAGACCATTACAAGTATCTAGGGCTGACAATTGATAGTCATTTGGGCTGGTCAAGACACATCGACAACATTACATCTGCTGCTTTTAGAAAGCTAGGCCTCATTAGACACAAGTTGAAAAATACACCCCCTAACGTAAAATTGTTAGCGTTCAACACGCTTGTGAGACCTAAACTGGAATACGCCAGCGTTGTATGGGATCCCTTTACCAAAAAAGACATAAATAAATTGGAAAGGGTTCAAAGACGGGCAGTCAGATTCATTTACGATAAGTTCAAGCGATCAGATTCTCCCTCCTCTCTAATGCAGATAAACAAAATTGAATTGTTGCAGGAGCGAAGGCAAATAGCAAGGCTAAAGTTTCTGTTTCTTCTTGCAAATGATAAGCTATCTATTAATCGCCATGCATATCTAAAACCCATTGCTACGAGACAGACCAGACATCACCAACCTCATTCACTGACTCCGTACTTTGCTCGCACCAATCTTTTCAAATTTTCCTTTTTTCCAAGAACAATCAATGACTGGAATTCCCTGCCCATTGAGTCACTTCCTTCTTCCTATTTCATGACCGTATAGGTTTTTTACTGGGAATGTGTATCTTGCTCTTGGAGGCTTCTTGTCCTGTATTTTTGCATTTGTTATTTACTGTATATTTTAACCTAGTGGCCTTTTTTGATATCTTTTGTTGAAGACTGTTTTTTGTCGTGTATTTTACGATCTGTATTCACTCCTGCTTGGACCATTTAGGTCCGCAGTATGTCATAAATAAAAAAAAAATAAAAATGTTCTCACTCACTGGGCACTAGTTTGATCAGAACACTGAGGCGCAATCCAATCTGTTGCCTGCGGTGGTTTTCTTTCGTGACACTGGAAAGCACTTACGCTTTCATATCTACGAGGTGCCGATCTCTGAGCTGCTCCTTGCAGAAAGGGCGGTCTCCCTCCTTCTCGAATGAAAAGAAAGAATTGAGGGAGAGATTCCTCCTCTCGTCTTGTTGATCGTCCTTTAAACTACGTGCCACGTCAGCGGCCCCTCTCCAAAGCACATTTAACAATCGCAGAATACGTTTCCAAAAAATGTATTTTGAAGCGGGGTTGCTGCTTAGCCGCTATTCTTTAGGATGCCTTAATGCTGGCGCCATAGAATGAGTGCCTCAACGGGGAGTTTTAGAATAGAGTACTCACAAGCTCTGTGTACGCAAAGAATAGCGTCGTCGCCACCGTGCATGCGCCGAACGTTAACCGCATTTTGCTCTTTGCGGACGCTATTTTAGCCTGCGTACGCAAGGAGAGTTCGCTTTTCCCAGGGGGGATTCATAATGCGCGAGAAGTTGGCTATAAAGCCAGACGAGCGCTGTCAGAAAATGGCGGCTCCCAGGACCTTGGAGGTCGTCCTGTGCGGTTCGTCGGCAGCATCCCTGAGACTGCAGATGTCAAGAGAGGACGACATTGCACTCCTACGGGTGATGCTCGTCACAAACCATTGGGAGGACCCAGCAAAGAGGGCAACGATCGCCGGCAACTTGCTGCTTGCTACGCGAGTACGCTTCTCGGCGAAGGTCAAGTTACGAGACCTCTCTCGTCGAGGCGACACAAGCGGACACGACCAGCCGCCGTCCACGGTTTTGCAGTTCAAGCGACGTCGCCACTAAAAATAACGAGCAGAATCTTATCAAGTGAATCAGGTTTTAACGACGTCCATTCTGCTGCGTTAACGCGGAATGAATCGCCGAATGCCACATTATTTACCCGAAGTTTCGCGGTGTAACGAGCCTCGTTAGTTATGCCCAGGCCACTAAAGCACTAAGACAGCATCATATGATTTGTTGATGCAAGACGCCGCGGTTTATGCCCACACCTATCTTGCATGCAAACCGGAGCGCTAGGGGCGCTCCGGTTTGTTTGTAAACGTGAGTTGGGGTATACCTGTTCGGGTCTATAACCCAAAGTGCGCGTTCAAACTAGACACTTTCAGAAAGATAAGAGAGAGTCTCGATCGAGTGACAAGCACTGTTACCTAAAAACCTCGGAATTTCGCCGTTTAGGAAGCAGGTCATTTCATTTAAAGGGGTCATGAAACGCTTTTCCAACTTTTTCCTGTTTCGCTTTCCTCCTCAACTCATAAATCGCGCATTCCACCAAACTGTTCAAGAAGACGAAAAGAAGGGAGGCCCCTCTCGCTCGGAACCTGGTTTAATCCCCGGACACATCCATTCTCCCCCTAGAAGATTAGCCCGTCGCTCAAAATTCAGACAAAAGTTTCTTTCCCTAGCCCGTTCACACCTAACCTGACAGTGCTGTGGAAGCTACGTGCTCCTTGGGCTAGCCACACTTTTGCCACGTAAGCTTGGCAAATGTGGCTGCAGAGAATGAAGTCAGGTGATGAAACGGAGGTGGCTGATTGGTCCGGCAAGCGCGTAGCTTCCACCACAATGTCAGCTTAGGGGTGAAGGGACTAAATGAGGTCCGGTTTTGTGTGACGTCAGTTTGGACCCGATGACACGCTTTTGGGACCGCGGATGTATCTTAGTGAAAAGGCAGAGCGGTTACGAAGGGGAGAAGGAACGAAATAGTCCGCTGTGTTTTCAAATTTTCGCACTGAATGTCAGGCTTTTGACTTTCTACCTTTTTTCTTTTGGCCCACTGAACGATGTTCTATTAGTAAAATCCCAATCTAAAACGATTTATCCCAACCCAAAAATCGTTTCATGGGCCCTTTAAGTATTTCACTCGTCAAGTCGATTTTAGTATTCCACTCACCAAATCTGTATGATATGTTAAATCCCGAGCCAGACATGCTTGCGTCCGTCTTCAAGATCACCGTGACGAAGTTCGTGTCCAGGAGAATAGGCTCAACCAGACCTCGTCCACAGAAGGTTTTCTTCCAGTTCCCGAACGAGTACTGCGTCCAGTATGAAACAAAAGCTTTAGAAAAACTCAGACATCTTGTCATTTGTAAGAATTTATTGTTTACTTGATAAGGCCATCAGCATTTAGTTTATTATTAGACCGGTTACCTCAAACAAAATTAATTAATATTGAGCATAAGCTAGTCAAAAATGATTAATTTGGTCAAGATAGATTTTAGCAGGTTAAAACCCATTTGCAAAAATTTCAGAAAGTTAGCCGGTTAGCCGGCGCTTTTGCCGATTTAAAAAAAAAACATCCTCAGCAACTGTCTTGTGTTTACAAGAAGAAGACAAGCACACTTTGTCGAGATTTGCCCGCACAATTGGGCAGCTTTCTTTCTATATTCGTTGATGACGGAATGACCCTGTTGCTCCATGTTCCTATTTTAAGTGAGAATTGCATATTATGTTCCTTTCACCTGGTGCGATATTTGGACGTGTCAAAACAATTCTATAGACGTTTTATATATTATTTTGATAGCCGATATTTAAGCTAGTGCTCTGTCTCTATTTTTTATACTTCTACCATTTCATTTTATCTATTATAAAAAAAAATCACTAAAAGATTTCAGTAAACAATTGGTTACCCTGCCTGAATTATGTATAAAAAAGCTTGTTTGGAAGTAAAACACATTTTATAATTGACTTCACTAGGTGCAGGCACTGCGCATGAGCAGGAACCATTTCTGGAGTGTGCAAAGCGTTAGCATGCGGCTGAATGAATGCATGCGTGTAGGGCTGAACCCTTTGATTCCGGGCTGCGGCTTGCGCCACCTGAGTTATTTGTAACCTCAGCTGCTAATACACATGCTAAAAATGTGTGCGCCGACCTCGACAGCAGTGCTAAGATAAACTCAGTTGCGGGACTGCCCATGGACGCCGCCTCTTCGAGCACTACCTCGCTCTCCCCCAAGGTACGCCTCTCGTCGCCCTGCGCTCCACCATTTTTCTGGGGGACGGCTGCAATGGTAACTACAGTTACACAGGTCTTGAAGCACGGCGTCTAATGGCGCTTCATCGAAGAGTCTCCGAAGGATACATTTTTAAAATGTAGCCTCGAGGTGATGCTTCAAACGACGAGTGGAGGGCATAAGGGAGAGAGAGAGATAGATAGAGAGGAGGAAGTTAAGGTATCATCCTCTACGGGAGTTCCACCATTCCGTCGATATAATAAGGTTGCCTTACTTTGAGGTGGTCGTAGGGACAGTCGGCCCTGGCGGCGTCGTCCTCGATATCGATGGAGTGCTTCTCGATGAGGATGGCGAACTCCCTGGGCGCGAAGATGTACCAGCGGCACTCCGATAAGTCGTCGTAGTGGTCCGGGTAGTTCGGGGACTGGAAGCTGCCCCGGAACTGCGTCAGGAAGCCCCCGCAGGCTGCGGAGAGCGGGGGTCGCCTCTGGGAATCACTGGGGCTTGACGTCTACTTAACTAATCTCATTAAAAGGGAACTAAAGATGATTCTGAGATCATCTGTTCTTGGTCATAACTGATTCTACCGTCTCTAAACATCCTAAAAAAATACGATCACGCGACGCTTATTTTTTTATAAAAAAAAAAAGTGAAAGCCGTTTACAACTTTTTGTAACGCCGAATTGGAGCGCAGCTCTTGAGGAGGAGGAGTGGAGGGTATATTCCTCCTCCTCCCTCGTGATCATGCCTGCTAGTCCTCCTCCCCTCCTGCTCCCCCTCCCTCTCCTTTACCACCTTTACCGGGTGGGGGAGGAGGGGGAGGAGGAGGAGCGGAGGGGAAGGAGGAGGAGGAAGGGGAGGGGCGACGCCGACGCCGACGCCAACGCCGCACAGGCTGGAAACGGGTCATGTGACCCCCTCCCCCCGAGGTCACGTGACCCGCCCGGACCATACTACACCATGAGGGGAGGAGGAGGAGGAGGAGGGGGAGGAGGAGGAGGGGGGAGGAGGAGGGGGAGGAGGAGGAGAGGGAGGGGCGTGGTTACGCCGACGGCGACGCCAACGGCGACGCCGACGCCGCTCAGGCTGGAAACGGGCCCCTAAGAGCTGCGCTCTAAAATTAGACTTTTAGAACTCCCTGTAACGCCGAATTAGAGCGCAGCTCTTGAGGAAGGAGGAGGAGAGGGTACGGAGAGGAGGGCATGCCCCTCCTCCTCATACGTATCCTCTCCTCCCCTCCTCCTTTGAAGTATTCAGATTTTGCGATATACTGTGCTAAACAATCTGAGAAAGATTTATATATATATATATATATATATATATATATATATATATATATATATATATATATATATATATATATATAGAGTAGTGCGCTGAAGTTACCACTCCTGGAGCAGGCACAAGGCTGGGGCTAGATAAGAGAAGGAAAAATTGCGCGGGCACCTTACCGCAACCGCTAGCCTTCTACCTGCTCCACGAGTAGTAACTTTGGTGCACTACTACGCTTCTCACGCGCTAAGGGTCTTTCTGAAAGTGACTGATCCAGTGGTTTTCGATAACGCTCAGCAAGTTTCTAATTGGAACCATATGTCCATTTTCACTAATTAAAAAGTTAATTAGTGCATTTAACTAATTATGCGACTTATCACAAAGATTAGCCACCCACATAATGTCCCCCTGGGCGTATAAGTCACTCGTACAAACCGCGTAAGTGTAGCTTTCATGGCGTTTTTTTTAACAAATCTGCAAGAATGAACAAAAAATAACACCCGGCATATATATATATATATATATATATATATATATATACAGGGTGTTCATTTTTAATTCGAACAGATTTATTTTCAAAAATCCGTAAAAGATGCACTGATACGGTTTGTGCAGGTGAGTTATACGGTCAGGGGGACATATTATAGGGGGCTAATCGTAACGATCAGTTGACTAATTAATTAAAATTCGTTAATTAACTTTTTAATTAATGAAAATAGACACATGGTTCCAATTAGAAACTTGCACAGCGTCACCGAAAACCACTAAATCAGTCATTTTCAGAAAGACTTTGAGCGCGTGAGAAGCGTAGTAATGTACTAAAGTTACCACTCGTGGAGCAGGTACAAGGCTGGGGCTAGATAAGAGAAGGAAAAATGGCGCGGGCACCTTACCGCAACCGCTAGCCTTGTACCTGCTCCACGAGTGGTAACTTTTGTGCACTACTACGCTTCTCACGCGCTCAAAGTCTTTCTGAAAATGACTGATTTAGTGCTTTTCGATGACGCTGAGCAAGTTTCTAATTGGAACCATATGTCTATTTTCATTAATTAAAAAGTTAATTATCGAATTTTAATTAATTAGCCGACTGATCGTTACGATTAGCCCCCTATAATATGTCCCCCTGGCAGTATAACTTACCTCCACAAGCGGCAGAAGTCTAACTTTCACGGCTTTTTTTTAAACAAATCTGTTAAGCTTAAAAAAACACCTTATATATATATATATTTATTGTCACGAATGACAAGTGATGAGGCGATAATAACTGAAGAAACTTAGCGTTTAAGGGGGCGAACTTGTGCCCAAAAGTAAAAATAAAAAGAAAGATAACAAAGCGTCGCGGGCGTCGAAGGCGGCGAAGCAGCAGGATCGAACGCTGAGGCGATACTGACCTTGGCTCACCACGCGAAACCCCTTATGTACGCGCGTGGGCTTCTGGAATAATCGGCGTAGAAAGTTCGACGCGTAGAACATTCGGACCTCGAACAGAATTCGCGAATTTTTCAGAACACTAAATTGCAGGAATAAACAAAATACACGTCGCTCCCAGGAATCGAACCCTGGCTTTCCGCGTGGGAGGCAGGGTATATATATATATATATATAACATTAGGACCTGATGAAGAGCGGTCCCCGCTCGGAACGTCGTCCAATAACTATGTTTTAAAGCATTTACCTCGTTTTTACGATATATATATATATATATAGATATAAAAAAAAAGCTTTTAGTCTTTTCACTCTGGTGAATAAGGAAGAGCAGCGGAGCTGTAGCTTTTGTTCTCGGCGGTGGCTTTCCAAGTGAACGATCTGCTCTTCTTTCGCAAGGGAATTTTAAGCGCTCGACTCAGGGGAACTTTAGGTGATAGCGGCCTCGCGGCAATTCTGAAACCATACGCGCTGCTGCGCACATCACCGCTCGTTCCGTTCCCGCTCTTCTTTCCCCGAAGAAATGTTGCCGCCATCTATGAGCGACGGCGGCAAGCAGACAACCGGCAAACACAACACTCTGGACACCTACCGCCATCTACGGGTATATACGGCGGCAACCAGACTGCTGTGTCGGCAATGGGTGTCGAATTTTGTTTGGTACCGGACACTATCCTGAAAAAACTAGCCCTTAACGGCTCCGCTGTAATGGTGGTATTCTCGCTCGCCCGTTGTCCGGAGAAAGGAAATACAGTTCTCACATCTGGAAGCTCCACTCTTTAGTTCTTCTAGTGCCAGGAAAGAGGACAGCAGGAGCAAGGCGGGAGAACAAGACAGCGTTAGAGTCAACACCGTGACGAAGCACGTGATACTCTCGATGCCATCCTACTTGCTCTCGGCTCTGTCGAAGACTGCTCGGCGTTTTTGATTTCCTCAGCATTAGTCTTGAGCGTGCTCCCCCGAGATGGCGCAGCAGAACAACAAGTACACATCCCTTGGGGCCAATGGGATGTTTTCATGCATGACTGGTATGAAGTTTTTCTTTGTCTTGCAGGAAATATTTGGCGAGTGCTGTAGGCGAGAGGTACAGAGCTACCGCGCGTAAGCCGTCGTCGACCTTGGCGGCACACCATTTACCAACTTCGTCTGACGTGCCACAGAGATCGATGGGTACAGCACAGACGCAGACCCGTACCCATGGATGTAGATGGTCACATGGACAACGAGAAAACCACGTTTTCATACGTGCCTCCTTATGATTTTTGAATGGTGATATCACATGCCTGCACAAAGGGTAGCTGGCATCTCCCCTCCTCCTCCGCCTCCCCTTCTCCTCCTTCTTACTCGTCCCCCCCCTCATATTCTCTCCCCCCTCCGCCTCCTCCATCCTCCTCCTCCTTCCTCCCCTCATTCTCCTTCTCCTTCCTCCTCCTATCCTCCTCCCTCCTCCTCCCCTCCTCCTGCACTGCCCGCGCGTTGCATCATATGCGACGCATCATCCAACAGAAACTTGCTTCCGTAGTCCCATCAACAGCAATTTTCTATTTCCTCACGGACAGAGTCTGTTCTACCGATGAAAATCTTCGTTCCGAAATTCCTCAAATGATTTCGTACACTCCTGCTCTGCATGGCTGCCATCTCCCCTTCCTTCACTGGGGGTTCTTTACACGCCTGGCGCAGTCGTCCCACTTATTCTAACAAGGCATATCGTGGATATCGACAGAGGCCAGTCTGCCATTACTGTGGAGTTGCCGGTCACGTCGCACGAGTTTGCCGGAGACTACAGCAAAACTATGCAACCCGCGACTTTACTAATACAACCGATACCGCAACCACCTAGAGCTCGGGAGTCAGCCGCGCGATCAATCCCCGCCCCCGGACCCTTATCCAGCACGTCGTCCACAGGCTCCTCGCCGCCGCTTCCTGTCTCCATATCCTCGATCCTTCTCGGCTATGGTCTCAAGGAGAGACGTGCAAGGCCTAACACCGGAAACTAGGAACCGTAGTTGTCGGAGGAGCAACTGCGTCACAAAAAACGTCATCACCATCCTCCTTATAACCCATCAAACCTCATTGAAGTATACATCGACGGCTTACTTCTGTACGCCTTGGTTGACACAGGGGCGGCTACTTCTGTGATTAGAGAGGACATCTGCATCCGTCTTCACAAAGTAAGAACGCCCCTCCATGGTTGTGCATTTCGGGCAGCGTCCACATACACTATTCATCCAAAAACCCAGTGCACGGCACGTGTTTCCATACAGGGTACGTGCCACATCTATTCAATTCGTTGTCTTGTCATCTTGTTCATACGATTTCATTCTCGGCTGCGATTTTTTTTTACTCGGTGGGAGCTGTCATTAGCTGCAACGGGGTCCTTCTTGGGAGATTCCAAATAGCTGCAAATCTGACTCCAGTATTCTTGAAACCAATTTACGGGCCTTTGAAGACAGGTATTTTCCCGCTAGCATCTCTTGTCATTAATTTCTCGAGTGAACCAAGAGTTTCAGGCACTTTTCTAGTAACTGCTTTTAGAGCGCAGCTCTTAGGGGCCCGTTTCCAGCCTGAGCGGCGTCGGCGTCGCCGTCGGCGTAACCGTGCCCCTCCCTCTCCTCCTCCTCCCCTCCTCCTCCTCCCCCTCCTTCTCCTCCTCCTCCCCTCATTGTGTATGGTCCGGGCGGGTCACGTGACCTCGGGGGGAGGGGGTCACATGACCCGTTTCCAGCCTGTGCGGCGTCGGCGTCGGCGTTGGCGTCGGCGTCGCCCCTTCCCCTCCTCCTCCTCCCCCTCC